CCTTCACACTGCCAGGTCTTCACATGCTCCGTGTGCCAGGAGACATTCCGCCGGAGGATGGAGCTGCGGGTGCACATGGTGTCACACACTGGGGAAATGCCCTACAAGGTAGGTCAGCTGGTCCCCAGGTCACGGGTGGGATGGGGATGTGGACCCCTTTGCCTGGGGTGGTACCTGGCACCTCTCCCTTGAAGCCTGCCTTCCTTGCCCACCCAGTGACACTACTATATATAGATAGGGCCACTGTCTGTAGCCCTACTGGCTCAGTGTTCCTCTGGGCACGACATGGATGGCTGAGCATTGCCCCGTCTTGGGAGCCAGGCTTCAGCAGATCTGGGTTAGCGCTCCTTCACCATGAACTGGTGGCAGGGCTGATGGCGCGGCTGTGCTGGTGCTGACTAGGCCTGTGTTTTCAGTGTTCCTCCTGCTCCCAGCAGTTCATGCAGAAGAAGGACTTGCAGAGCCACATGATCAAGCTGCACGGAGCCCCTAAGCCCCACGCAGTAAGTGCCAGGCAGGGCTGGGGCACCCGTGGCTCCTGGACGGCCCACCCTGTCCTTACCTGGCACTGCTCCCTCTGTCTGTCTCCCACCTGCAGTGTCCCACTTGTGCCAAGTGCTTCCTGTCTAGGACGGAACTCCAACTACACGAGGCTTTTAAGCACCGTGGGGAAAAGCTGTTTGTGTGTGAGGAGTGTGGGCACCGGGCCTCGAGCCGCAATGGGCTGCAGATGCACATCAAGGCCAAGCACAGGTGTGAGCCTCCTCCCTCCTCCCCGAGTGCGGGCCCACACACACTCATGGGGATGAGAGTTCCCCTCTGAAGTCTAGCACCTGCACACATGGGGATGAGCATTCCCCTCCGGAGTCTAGCACCTGCAGCCTTCTGGGGCTGGGTGAGAGGCAGGCAGATTTGTTAGGCCAGTGGGGAGGGCTCAGGCTGAGGCACTTCTGTCCCTTACCTTCCTGACTCCTGGATTCTCCTGTGCTTCTGGCGAAGGTGGTGGTGTCCTTTGCCTGGAACCACCCAAGTCCTACTTGCTTAGCATGTTCCAGCCCTATTCCAGCCCTAACGGATGACTGAAAGGGGATGGCTTCCCCCAGTGATGGCCTCTGCATTGTGTCCCCATCCACACAGGAATGAAAGGCCTTATGTCTGCGAGTTCTGCAGCCATGCGTTCACCCAGAAGGCCAATCTCAACATGCACCTCCGCACACACACAGGCGAGAAGCCTTTTCAGTGTCACCTCTGCGGCAAGACCTTCCGTACCCAAGGTGAGGCAGGTCCATCCCCCTCCTTCCCTGGGGCTCAAGCCAGCAACTGAGCTCCACTTTGTCCCCCACAGCCAGTCTGGACAAGCACAACCGTACCCACACCGGGGAGAGGCCTTTCAGCTGTGAATTCTGTGAACAGCGCTTCACTGAGAAGGGGCCCCTTCTGAGGCATGTGGCCAGTCGTCACCAGGAGGGCAGGCCTCACTTCTGCCAGATCTGTGGCAAGACCTTCAAAGGCAAGTGGGCAAGCTGTGGGAGAGAGGGCCTGGTTTCCATTTCCTGCCTACCTGAGTTTGAGGGTCTACAGAGATCAAGGGAACAGTGGCTTCCTAGTGCTCTTTAGAACCTTCCAGCCAGCAGAGTTCTGTCTTCCATGTGCTAGGAGACATGAGAGTGGACTGGCTGTGACGGCGGAGGTGGGGGCAGGGCGCCCTGGACCAGGGCAATGGTGGCCTCAGTGTGGTGCTGTAGAGCCTGGAGTGGGGGAGACCCTGCCAAGGGCCGCCTCCTGTGCCTTAGGCCCTGGGACGCCTTGTCTCCCATCTCAGTCCTGTCCCTGCCGTGTTCCCTGCTCCTAATGCCAGTGGCCCCCTTCCTCCTGCAGCCGTGGAACAGCTACGAGTGCACGTCAGACGACACAAGGGCGTGAGGAAGTTCGAGTGCACGGAGTGTGGCTACAAGTTCACTCGGCAGGTAGGCCGGGCCGGGTCTCCTGCCCCTGCTCCGCTCTGTCTCCCCCCTCGCCTCTAAGCGTCCCCTCCCCGCAGGCTCATCTGCGGAGGCACATGGAGATCCACGACAGAGTGGAAAACTACAATCCACGGCAGCGCAAGCTCCGCAACCTAGTCATCGAGGACGAGAAGATGGTGGTGGTGGCTCTCCAGCCACCTACAGACCTGGAGATGGGCTCTGCAGAGGTCATTGTGGAGTCCCTGACCCAGGGTGGCCTTGCCGCCCAGCTCCCTAGCCAGAGACTGTGTGCAGAGGAGAGCTTTGCCAGCCCCGGTGTCCTGGAGCCTTCACTCATCATCACAGCTGCTGTCCCCGAGGGCTGTGATACATAGACCACTGCCCAGTTAGCCCCATCTACCAATAAATACGTGACTTTGGATTCACCTGTTCGGTGGTCTGTTGCTTGATCTTCTGCAACTATGGGCCCAGACCAAACTGAAGGGCTTCCTCCCAGCCGTCCCTCATGGTACCCATCCAGTGGGCACCTGGGCGCAGCTGCTTCCCCAGCTCTGGGAACCTCAGCCAAGCTGAGGAACTTGGCGGGAATGGAGGTGGCATCCACTTGCTATATAGCTCCTGTCCCTCACTGCTGCACGCCAATGGGTAGAATCCCGACTTAGCATATTGTGAGGCCAGCCATGGGTCACTTGGAAGTTGGCACAGTAGCCAGGGCCCATGGTCATGGCTTCATTGGCCAGAGTTAAGTCAGTTCAATGAAGCTGAACATGGCCAGGGACAGCTAAGAAGCTGGCCTTGACTGGCTGTATGCCCAGAGGAACCCACCCTTGGAAGGGTCCTATTTTGGTCCAGACCTTGAATGGGAAGGGGCATGGATCCCACCCCTTCCAGAGCATGGTGCTGTAGGTCATGGATGCCGCAGATGCACCTTCAAATTTCTTAACTCCTTTGTCTCCCAAAGAGCCCGTGAGACTTCCTGCTTCATCCACATGTTCCCACTGGCTGGTGCATGCTCATGCTTCTCAGACAGGTACTGAGAAAACTCACTGGGTGGGAAACCTTGGCCAAATTATTGGGGGCTTTCTCATGCCTGCCTGGCCTGTTAGCACACAAGCTCAGGGGCCTGGGTTCCTTCTGGAAGCTGCTGGGGCTTCCTCAGCATGGTACCCAAGCTCTAGGTAAGTACCCCCAGTCAGAAGTACAAGACCTTTCTATGACCTAGCTGGGGAAATGGTTTGATGTCATCTTTGCCACAGTGTTGATTGAGGCTGTCACCAGTACTTCCTGGTTAGAGGAGGCATAGACCTTGATAGGCGTGTCGAACAAATACGACACACTGAAACATCCCACCCCATCCAGGGCTCGGCTTTGCCTAATCTTGTTCCATGAGATGCCATACTCTTCCTGTCATTACATGTCCTAATTTCCCTGCTGTTGGGAGGCTAGGAAGATGGGGTTCCCTCACAACTAACACACCCGACTCCCTTTTGTTCCCTGGCCATTAGCAGCTGAGGGAATCGTGCACCCCAGGTTTGCCAGTATAGGCCATAAACAGCTTCAGATCTGTTCTGAAGCTACTCAAGGCCACAGTTGGGGGGTGGCTTAGTGGTAAAGCATTCATTCATTCCTCAATCTGTCCTCAGGGATCCTAGCCTGTTTCTTTTCCAGCCAGGCATTGGCCTCCCCTGGATTTGGATAGGCTCTGGGGGAGGAGATTACAGGCTAGTGTGTGTGTGTGTGTGTGTCTCAACCCTCCAAAGTTGTGATTCTCAACCTTCCTAATGCTGCCACCCTTCAATAGTTACTCATGTTGTGGTAACCCCAACCATAAAATTAACTTCACTAGCAGGGCAGTGGTGGTGCATGCCTTTAATCCCAGCACTCTGGAGGCCGAGACAGATGGATCTCTGTGAGTTGGAGGCCAAGCCTGGTCTACAGAGTGAGTTTCAGGACAGGCTCCAAAGCTACAGAGAAACCCTGTTTCAGAAAAAGAAATAAAACAACAAAAAGGGCTGGAGAGATGGCTCAGTGGTTAAGAGCATTGCCTGCTCTCCCAAAGGTCCTGAGTTCAATTCCCAGCAACCACATGGTGGCTCACAATCATCTGTAATGAGGTCTGGTGCCCTCTTCTGGCCTGGAGGTATACACACAGAATATTGTATACATAATAAATATTGTGATGCAAATACCTGTTTTCTGATGACTTTGGGGGTCGTGACCCTCAGGATGAGAACCAATGTTCTAAAGGTAACCTAGGTTCAAGGTCCATCTCATTGTGGGTAGGAGCCTACCTTTGTACTACATCATATGTGTATTTCACCTTGAGGAGAGAAAGGACTAGAGGCTCTGTGATGCTGGACTCCGCCCTTCTGTATCTGCATTCTCTCTGCTCTGTGATGCTGGACTCCAATCCTACCTCCTGTACCTGCATTCTCTCTGCTCTGTGATGCTGGACGCCAATCCTACCTCCTGTACCTGCATTCTCTCTGCTCTGTGATGCTGGACTCCAATCCTACCTCCTATACCTGCATTCTCTCTGCTCTTTGATGCCAGACTCCAATCCTACCTCCTGTACCTGCATTCTCTCTGCTCTGTGATGCTGGACTCCAATCCTACCTCCTGTACCTGCATTCTCTCTGCTCTGTGATGCCGGACTCCAATCCTACCTCCTGTACCTGCATTCTCTCTGCTCTGTGATGCTGGACTCCAATCCTACCTCCTATACCTGCATTCTCTCTGCTCTGTGATGCTGGACTCCAATCCTACCTCCTGTATCTGCATTCGCTCTATTTAGATCTACCTCCCACCACCAGTGTTGGCCTCTGCACACAAGGATTCCCAGAAGACAAAGCAGCAAGAAGATGAAGGCCAGCTGGGAGGTGGTGGCGCACACCTTTAATCCCAGCATTTAGGGGGCAGGTGATCTCTGGGAGTTCGAAGCCATCCTAGTTTCCAGCATGAGCTCCAGGACACCCAGGGATGCATGGTGCAACCATGTCTGGAAAAACAAAGAGATGAAAGCCATGACACCCAGCATGTAGGAAACATTTTATTTCAAAAAATAGGGGAGCATCCTAAAACCTTAGAATGCTGGACACAGAAGCCTAGAGAGTAGACAGAAATAAATATACAAATCTGCCCCAGCCACTGGTGTGACTGAATGCTAGTCACCTAAGGAAGGTGACCTTCATTATTACACAAGTCTCTGAAGTCATAAATATAAGAAATACCTTATAGATCAGCAAATACCAGGCACAGAACTTTTCATAACTTAATTTTATCCTGACATATAAAAGCTTTATACATGTGACAGGGACAATCCCATACCCAGGTAGCCCAGCTTTCATCCCTGTTAGTGTGTAGACATGTGTCAAATGATGGGTTACAGCCCAGAGCCCGTGGCAAAGGTGAAGCTGAGGGAGGGACTGTCCTGGACTCCCAGTGGGAGGACCACAGTGAGTGCCTACCCAGACGTGGGTCGTGATGTGCAAACCTGAGTATCTCTGGAGGTGGGCAGAGGGGCCCTGTGCAAGGGTGCACGATAAGGCAGGAGCCACTGCAGTCACAGGAGAGTGCGGCAGTGCAGCTCTTCCCCTGGGAAGCCCCTAGCCTGTCCCCCAAAGGACCTGACAGTGGTGGCCAGGCTACTTTCCCCAGCACTGAGCTTAGTTCCCGATACACAAGATTCCACCCTGCCATGCCAAGGCACCTCATGGAGTATCAACACCTCTGGGTGACAGCTCTTAAGGCTCACGGAAAGAGTTTACTAGGCCAAGAGGAAGGAGAGGCACTAGAGGGCTGGGCTGACAGCACCAGAGGACAGAAAGCACAGCCGCACACCCTACAGGAGCCCTAGGGCATCAGTGGGCCTGGGCTGGCACAATCTTCCCCAGGGTCAGGCGCCCGGGAGAGCATTTTAGAAACAGATTTCAAACCAAACAGGAAGAAGGCAGGTGCCTGGGAAATTAAGGCAGCCTCTTCTGCCACCTGGCCAAGAAGATGGCTGTGGTGTGTGATGGGGACACTCCATTCCTGGAGCCTCATCCGTCAGCCAAGTTCACCAGCGCACCCTGAACCTTGGCTTTGTCTCTAACGTGACAGTCCTAACGCCCTCTTCTCCACAAAGAAACATGACAGACTCGAGCAGAGAAGCCACTGGGTACCTTGAATGGTCCCAGCCCCCAAACCCACGAAACCACTCAAGGTCAGGAAGAAACCCAGGGGTCCCTGAGCTGTGACTCAGGTGTCTCGCTACTCGTGCACCTGGGCCTGAGCTCTCAGACATCCTGTCTCCCGCACGATGGCAGGAAAAGTCTAACAATGGTGACCTGTACATCTTCAAGTCAGACAGGGCCACTTGTCTCTTCTCCCAACCCCTCTACTTCTTTTCAAGTTCAAACCGCAAGCATTTCAAACCTAGAACCAAGTGCTGGGGCCGCCCCGCTTGGCTTCCTTTTGAAGCAGGAGTCGTCGCTCCCAGGCCCGGCATCTGTCCGTTCGGCCAAGTATCAGTGAGATTCTCGAGGAGGCACGGTCTTTTCCTCTAGCCTTGCCCCTGCAGGCTTGGGACAGAGCCCCAGGGAGGGCCTCCTGGCCAGGCGAGGGCATGAACTATGGAAACAGACCCCTTCAAGCTCACACTGTGGTTTAATCCCCCAGCTCAGTCAGTCCTCAACTCCTGAAAGCCTACCCTGCTGTCTGGTGAGGCCTAAGAGACATACAAAGCTAGGTGAACTGATGCTCCTTGGACCTGGCTGCCGGGAGCCTTGGCGCTAGAGGTGGAGTTTAGCTCTCTGTTGTAGCCTTTGTCTTCCTGGGTCTCCAGTGTTCCAGGCCAGGCCACTCTGTCATAGGGACCCTTGCCTTCTGCCCTGGGTCAAGCAGGCCCGGGAAGAGGCAGCAAGGAGAGGCACACTGCACGGTGAGTTGGATACTACAAGCTGGAGGTAACTTCTGGAAGGCAGAGATACAGGATGGTGGAGCAGCCACTGGTTCTTGACCACACACACAGGTCACCATCAGCTTCAGCCCCGAGAAGCTGTGACACAGGCTCCGAGTGTATAGGAACCGTCACACGATACCTCTAGGGCTCATTCAGCAGCCAGGAGCCACTGCTCCGGTTCATGTGCAAAAAGGAGAGGCCGCTCCTCTGCAGGTGCCAGGCCCCTTGTGAAAAGGCCCTCCCTTGGGCCAGGCCTGGGCTAGTGCAGCTCGTCAGGGTTCTGAGGCAGCCTGTGGCGGCCTGCATCCATGTCACTGCTGCCACTATTCAGCTCAAAGCCACGGCCCCCTGCTGGTGTCTGTGGCATGAACTGACGGAAGATGCTCACGCTACCATGCCAGAAGGTGGGCTCCGGAAGCCGCCCCACCACACTCCATGCCCGGGTCTCTGGGTCATAGGCCTCCACCACGTCCGAGAGTTCAAATGTATTGTCATATCCCCCAGAGACATAGAGCTTGCCTCCCAGGACGGCCAGGCTGCCCCCAACATGTACCTGCAGGTCAAGGCAGAGGAGTGAGAGGCAGGCAACTGAGGCAGGGCAGACGTCCCTCCCTGATTGCTCTAGTAACTTCCAGGGAACAGCCCAGCACATCATAGCCCCAGCACTAAGAACCAGCCTCAGCCAGCCTTCCAGGGAGTGCAGACAGCATAAGCCAATGCCTTCCTGTTTTCCAACCAGGAAATTGGGGCTCCTTATGTGGTCAGCATGGTCTCCAGGTGTGGGCCACACCCAGCATCCCTGCCTCAGCCCCTTAGGGCAGGCTCATCCGTTCTATCTTACAGATAGGAGACAGTATGCTGGGACAGCCATCAGTGACAGCTAGGAACGGAACCTGGTCAGATAGGGCAAAGTCTCCCAAGAGCCACCGTACCATCGGAGATAGGAGACCCTGACCAGATAGATGAGGTCTGCAGCGGGGGTGCTGAGTTCATGGCACACGTACTATATGTGTCCCATAAATGTATTCTCCGGGTCAACTCCTCAGGAAGTAGCTGGGGTGGATAGTTCCCGGACCTGTCTGACCCCATTCCCTCAAGCCACAATGGCTGCTAGCGTTCACACAAACACGCCAGCCCTGGGGCCTCTGCCCTTGCTGCCTCTCTGTAGAAAACTTCTTGAGATTCCTCTCCCTCTTCTGCTCGATGGTGCTGGCGCATAGTGAGGGTGAGTGACCACTAGTCTGGTCTTGAGATCCTATTTAACATCTGGTACCGGCCAAGTTCCAAACGCAATGAGGGTAACACCCGCTTCCCTTACAGGCCCCACCCACCATGACTGTCTCCCAAGCACTCTGTCTTAATGACAGTCCAGTTGCAAAAGCAGGGCCAGCCTGCACTCACAAACGCTGGCACGCCTGCAAATTTACCTGATTCATAGACGGGATCTTGTCCCATTCATTCTTGGAGGGGTTGTATACATCCACCTCGGCAGAGTCGTCCCTGTGGAGGGAAGGGAGGCAAAGACAGTCAGTCAGACAAAAGCAGAGGCACCTTGGGTGTGAAGGGCCGGCCAGAAGGTCCTCAAAGCAGCTGACTCTTCTGGGGACCTGTATGTATATTTTTGAACAAAGTCTTGGTTGGTAGCCTAGACTGGCTTTGAACCCACTGGGTTATCCCTACACTCTCTGTCTTCTTTCCAGCAGAGACCAAAGAGCCACAGTTGGAAGGGGCTGGGCTGGACAGGGCTCCCTGGATCCTCTCTTCAAGGCTGCTACTTCCCAGGCAGAGTCAACACCTTTGCTCCCCCCCCCCCCTTCTGGAAATCAACAGCAGGAGGCTCAGGATGGCAGCTCCCTTTATTGGTCACGGATATCCAGGCATTTAGGTGGGGCTGAAGTAGCTTCCTGTGTGGATGGCACACAAGCAAACCGCAGGCTGGGCAAACCCCTCCCACATCCACCTGGAGGGTTAGCAATCAAAACTGACTACTGTCCTCCAGAAGGAGTCAGCAGGTGCCAGGATCCTGCCCTGGGACCTTAGGACAGGGAGGGCGTTCTCAAAGGTACTGGGCCAGCAGCCACTAGAGGGGCTGAAGCAAAGACCTGGCACTCTTCACAGTTGTATTTATAGCCAGCCCCTCCTCCTTCTTGAAGCGGGGGGGGGGGGCAGGGGAACCTAGGGAAGGACCAGGTAGTTTTATAACAGGACAGGACCCAGGCTGAGGAAGGTTCCAGGACATTTTCAGAGCAGACCCTCAGGTCCTGGCATTTAAAGACTCCAGGCCCCTCCACCTCTTAGATGACAATGACACTTGGGTCCCCTTCAGGCTCCTCAGAGCTCACCCTGAAGAGCGGTGGCCTACTATTTTGGGGGCAGGGCAGGCAAAGGTCACTGCTACTCAGTCAGGGAAAATGCAGGCTCAGGGCACACATACCTTTGGGCTCCCAGATCAAAGTCGAGGACAGAGGAGACAGAGGGATTGTCATTCAGTCATTCCCTTCCTCGCAGCCCCACAGCTTCAGGCAGACTCCAGCCGGGGGAGGGGGAAGCACTGACTATGCACACACGCATGTATGTGCACACACACTACACACAGGGAATCCAGTTACCCTCCCAAACGTTCAGTAGCCATCTAAGGCACATTTGGCTGTGACCAGATAGGTCATCAAAACCATGGGACCACCAGGTGGGGGCGGCGCACGCCTTTAATGCCAGCACTTGGGAGGCAGAGGCGGACGGATCTTCTGTGAGTTTGAGGCCAACCTGGTCTATAGAGCGAGTTCCAGAACAGGTTCCAAACTACAGAGAAACCCTGTCTCAGAGAAAAAAGAAAAAGAAAACAAAACAAAACAAAAAAACTCAGGTGACCAGGCTAGGGTACAGCTGAGACATCTATCTCTATCTCACTTAGAAACATGCATGCTGTACATGTTCTGGTGGATGCATGGTAGCCTATGGGCTGCTTAGCTAGATACTTCGAAGACTCCACTATCCTTGAGGCAGCTTGATTAAGAAAACCTAGAAGGCCACAGAAACGGTCTAAGGGGTGGGACAAGCCTCAGCCTCCGATCCCAGCTTTTCCTCACCTATAAAATGGGCAGCAGGGATGCTGAGTCGGAAACAGTGTACCCGGGGGCTCACCTGACAAAGTACATGAGACCATTCAGGGTCACAGTCTTGGGCGCAAAGGACCAAGGTGGAAGCTGGCCACAGTCCACCAGTGACCACAGGTCAGTGTCCGGGTCATAGCATTGTATCACCATGGTCTCCTTGCCCGCCAGGGAGCCGATGGCGTACAGCCGGCCTCGGCAGGCGGTGGTGGAGCAGTTGTCCATGGGGTAGGTCATAGGCTGCAGAGCCTCCCAGGAGTCGGTGGCATGGTCATAGCGCTCTGTGCTGTCGGCTGCCACCACATACAGTAGCCCGTCCAGAACAGAAGAGCTGTGGTACTCTCGGGCCTTGAGCATGGGTGCCACCTCTGTCCACTCGTTCACACTTGAGTTGTATCGCCACACGCAGTCATAGAGCCGGGAGCCATCAGACCCGCCTGTCAGGGCACACAAAGGGCAGATGCTCAACCCACGTGCAGTGAGTCACCCACCTGTGTCTTCTCGGACTTCCGGGTAGGCCTCTCCCTGCAAAGGAATTAGCCTGATTCCCTTCACCCAAAATACATTTGTCTTCTTCCGGCCTTGCCAAGCGGTCACTGTCACTGAGGCAGGGCACAAGGCCCCCTAACTGCTGTCAAATCAAAGCCAAAAGATGCCGCTTCCAACTGTCCTAGACTGGGGATACAGCTAAGCTGGTGGAGTGCTTACCATAGCATGCATGAACCCTGGGTTTGCTCTCCAGAGAGCAACACACCTGTAATCCCAGCACTTAGCAGCCGGGCAGTGGTGGCACACGCCTTTAGTCCCAGCACTTGGGGGACAGAGGCAGGCGGATCTCTGTGAGTTCGAGACCAGACTGGTCTACAAGAGCTAGTTCCAGGACAGGCTCCAAAACCACAGAGAAACCCTGTCTCGAAAAACCAAAAAAAAAAAAAAAAAGAAGATGGTGCAGACTACATGCCGGCAAAACACTCATACTTTAAAGAGTAAAATAGAGCTGGGCCGAGATGTGTACCTTTACTCCTAGCACTCAGGAGGGAGGCAGAGAGACAGGTCAGTCTCTGAGGTCAAGACCAGCCTGGTCCAGGACGGACAGGGATACACAGAGAAACCCTGTCTCAAAAAACAAAACAAACAAACAAAAGACTCAAACAAAACTACCCTCGGCCGCACCATCACACGTAACTATCTCAGACCATTCAATCTCGGGGCTGGGCAGCTCTTCTGGATAGACACTAAACGTGGGATTTGGCCACCAAATCCTAGACATCCTGGACACTTTGAAACCAAGACTGTGTCAGAACATGAGAAGAAACCCACACTGTTACCCAAGAGACCTAACGCCACAAACCACACCGTCATACACCTCTGGGGTTCTAGCTTTGACTGTAGTGGAGAGTACAGAAACATGCTTCATTCAAACTCTTATCAAGCTACACAGATTTTGTGTGTCAACAAAAGACAGTAATTGTATAAAGGAAATCTAAGACATAAATGCTCAGGGTATGAGGAGACTCCAGGAATCTTGGGGCTCTGCCCCTGGCTTTCCGGCTGGTGCCGTGAACAGGGCCGAGACATTCTGTCTCAGCCCAGAGCTTTTGAGGGAAGAGTCTGAGGAATGTTATACAAACTGTGGGACTTTCACAGGGACGCTCTGAAGCAGCTGAAGCAGCTTCCTGGCCCCTCAGGAAAATCCCCCACCAGCAGCTGAAGGGAATGGCGGAGCCACCTGCCTCCACCCCATTAGCTGTTCAGCTGTGACACTAATTATTCAAGGGCGAGCGAGTCTGGCCCGTTCTCTGTTCAAAATCACCAGCCAGACTTCAGAGATGGGGGCAGGGTGGTAAGGGCGGAGCCCAGCATAGCAGGGTCAGGGGTTGTTAAGGAGGGCTGGATCCAGAGACCAGTTGGGAAAGCGGAGGCTGTCCCTGAGACCCACAAGCACACCACCGGAATATCGAAGTGGGCTTTCTGTGGAATGTGGAGCTGAGCCCCTGTGACAGCCCAGCCGCGTGCCTGCCAGCCTGATATGATAAGGGACATAGGTCCCAGTGGTCTTTCCTTATATAGCAGTTCCAGAGGCCATCCCCGCTGGCCTGGAGAAGGAGGTAGCTAGCCTCCCCTTCAGTTTGATCATAGGGATTCATCCTTGGTGAAAAACGTGGGAGAAGCCCTGCACAGGGGCAGGCTGGGGCCCGCCTACAGTGACTCGGCAGTGTTTTGGGGTTTCAGCCAAGTAACTGGAAGAAAACCGCTCGACATGTGACCATGTTTACAGTCGTAGACTAGAGCAGCCTAAACACCATGTGATCCACAGTGCATCGCGGAGGTGCAGGCTCTAAGAAACCTTGTCACTGGTGACAAAGCCACTGAGTCAGGAGGCCCCTGTGGCTTAGCAGGGAGGGAGAAAAGTCCCAGCTTTGGGGAGGGTGAGATGTCTCACCAGGCGCCAGCCTGCAGCCTGTCCCCGCATTCCTTGGGGATTAAAAGAAAGCAGCCATTGTGCCAGGCCAATGCCCTGTCTCTTCTAACCCAAAAGGGGGAGGCACCTCCGGGGCAAGGAGTTGGCTAAGCAAGGCAGGCTGTACCACGTAAGGCACGGAGACCCACAAAGCAGTTAAGTCTCTGCTAGCACAGGGGGCTCTTATAGCTTGAAAGCAAATGGAAAAACTAGCGCAGTCCCTGCCAAGGGCTAGGTCGAGCTCTAAGATTCAGGTCCTGAGTGTTTCACTTGGAAAGCCCCCAGCGCACTCACCCGTCACGTAGATGTCATTGCCCAGCGCCACGATGCTGTAGCCCCCGCCTAAGTGGTCGGGGAACTCGGCCAGGTAGCGCCACTGGCCTGTCTGCGGATTGTAGCAGTCGACGGTGACCAACTCATCGCAGTCCTGGTCGCAACCTCCCACCAGCACCAGGATCTCCGCTAGGCCGGTGGACGGGCGCGGACGCATGCGGGGGCAGGGCCCGCGGTCGTGTCGGTCGTAGCGTGCCGCCTGGAAGTCGCGGGCCTCGCGCAGCAGGCGCAGGCAAGGCGGGCAGCGCGCCACCAGCGGCTCGGCCTCCACGTGTGCCAGCAGGTAGAAGCGGCGCACGAAGGGAAGGCGCACGGCCTCCAGCAGCTGCGGCCAGTGCGCCGCGCGGCGCGGCGGGTCGGCGCGGACCCAGCGCAGTGCCAGCTGGTAGGCCGCCTCCTCCTTGGGCACGCACAGTCCGTCGTCGCGCAGGTAGCGCAGCAGGCGGGCCAGCGGCAGCCTCTCCAACTGCTCGGCGCCCAGCTCGCCCACGTGGCGCAGGATAAAGCGCTGCGCCGCGCTAGCCAGCCCCGAGCAGCTGAAGGCCTCGGCAAAGTCCTGCATGTCCAGGCAGTTGGCCAGGTCGAGCTGCTGCTGCAGGAAGGCGCCGCACGCTTCCTTCACGGCGGGGAACTGCAGCAGGTCCGCGGCGCGCAGTAGCGGCTCGGCGTTGTCGCCGCTCACGGCCACTCTGCCGGTGTAGCTGAAGTCCAGGAGCAGCTGCAGCATATCGGGCGGCACCCCGTGCAGGCGCACGCGCTCGGCGCGGCTCTCGCGCAGCTGCCCCGCGAACATGGCGCGGAAGTAGGGACTAGCGGCCGCTAGCACGGCGCGGTGCGCGGGGAAGTCGCGGCCGCCCGCCGCCTCCAGGGTCACGTCCAGGAACTTGCGCTCGGCGCGTAGTTGACTCAAGCCGCGCAGCAGGCTCAGGGCGTGCGCGGGATCGGAGAAGGGCAGCACGGCCAAGGGCGCCGGCCGCTCCATGACGCGGGACTGCGGGCACAGGGACGCCCTGGCTCCCCGGGCACCGCCTCTATAAATATGCACGCCAGCCGCGGCCTCCGTGGGCGGGGTCTGCCGGGGCGGAACACCACGGACCACGCCCACTTAACCCTTTTATCCCCAGCGCTGCTGGCTGGTTGAGTCACGGCCGCCTACGCCGGCTCCCTTTCTGCCCTTCCGGGACTTTCAACCGCCTCCGCGGACGCTTAGCTGGCAACGGCGGGTGACAAGTGCGGGCTCCCAGGTGTGCTAACCACCGTCCAGCCCAGCGGTTTGCAGAGTTAGGCCCGGAGAGGCGAGCTTGGCTCCCGAATCCACAATCACTCCTTTGGTTCCAGATTCCCTGTTGCGCTCCTGGGAACCTCAGGACATCTGGGTAGGATGATCCTGTTTTCAGTTCCGTTGGCTCCGGGGTAGTTACTTATGCCCCCCCGTCAGATTTCAAAAGTAGTATTTGCACAATTCAGCACCAAAGCACGAACAAGTCCAAGAGCTTCGTTGTCTTTTTTTTTTTTTTTTGGCGCGTTTAAGAAAAACCGGGCCAGATTCCAGGAAGGCGCTCCTCCACTGTGTTCATGCCTGAGTTCAAAGCGAGCAGTCAAGTCTGGTCAGCATAAAAGCAGTAGTTTACTTTCCGAACCTACTCCTTCAGGCTACTCACTGTGGGTAGGAACAAGTCTGCAGGGGAGTGCCCAGGCTCTCAGACCTCCGGGTGGCCCAAAGGCTCACGGTCCGTCCGGGGAGTTCCTTAAAAAGTTGGAGATGGAGCCTCTCAGCAGTCACAGTTCTCTGAGTGAGGCGGTATGTGCTGTACTTAAACGCAACTCTAGGAACGGGAGCCTACACTTGGAAGGCACTGTGAGTTTTGCTTTGCTTAGTTTTAGGGAAGTGTCTGCTAATCAACTGTCCCCTACTTCTGAAATCATTCCAGCCTCAGGTCTAGCCCATCGCGCCCCTCGGGGAGGCTGCTAGGTTGACACAGCCTTGGCAGCAGACATTTTGTTTTATTCCATTTCTAAAACGTTTCAGGCTTTCTCTTCCACTCAGGAACCTCACCTCCTTTTCCTCTGAGAATGCAGCTGGTCTAAATTTTAAAGTCAGCATGGTAAGCACAGACTCCAAGGAAGAAAACATGCAGGTACCCCAGCAACCGCCTGTTGCCCATAGAAGGTCTGTTCACACAGCTATTAAAGGCAGTGCAGCATTCCTGGGCTCAGGAGCCTGGCCAATAGCTTACACACTCACGCGGGTCTTCTGAGTCTGAGCAACCAGGAAGTGGCTGCTTGTAGAGGAAAGTACAATAAGCGCTTGGAGTCAGCCGGCTCCTCTCAGCGTGAAGCCTGAGGATTAAATGCTGTAGCTGAGAACTGAGTATGGATTTTGTTTTTGTTGGAGATGGAACCCAGGGCCTCAGACATTCAAGGCACGCACTTTCTATCATCTGAGGTCTCTGCCCCTCTGCTCCCCACTCTCCTAACATCGAAAGGGTAGGTCATTATGGAAGAATGACTCTGCAGATATTGAGATGGGAAGATGTGCATGTGTGCATGCTAGCTCCGTCAAGTCAGATCATACACAGTGGGATCCAATTATACAAACTGTCCTCTTTCTTCAAGGGTCTCCGGCTTGAGCCCAGGGTCTGGCTTGTGCTTCGCTTACTCTGTAGTCCATCAGCAGCTCTAGATTTCCCTTTCACTCCGAACGTTTTTGTGTGTTGTGTGTGTGCTCATTCATGTGCCACAGGGTAGTGTAGGTCGGAGAACAGGAGCTTCGGGTGCCGACCACGGGGTCTCATGATGAAAGCCTGGCTTGCCTGAAACTCAGAGACCCACCTGTCTCTGCCTCCCAAGTGCTGGGATTAATGGCCTGTGATAGCAATGCAGGGCAAAATGAACCCAGTCCTGATACTCTCCATGCTGCCCCAGGCTCATTCTCCTATTTACAAACTGTCAATCCTGCTTTCCTGCTTCCTCCCAGTCTGTCTGTCCCCTGGCTGGCTCCCCTTTTCTCTCTGCCCTCCAGCCCTGCCTATCCTTCCTGTGCCTAGTTATTGGCCATTCAGCTTTTTAATAGACCAATCAGGTGCCTTACTCAGGTAAGATGAAATAGCAACACATCTTTACATAATTAAACAATTATTCTGCAACAAACAAATGTAATACATCTTTATTTAGTTAAATGAATGTTCTATTTCACAACAGTCTACATAGCTAATTCCAGGACAGGTAAGGTTACAGTGAGACCCTGGCTCAAAAAAAGTAATTACAGCTGACCACTAATCCCTTTGTCCACGGATCCCTCCTGGTTTCTTGAGCTGCTGTCAGTTTTGGGTAAGTGCAGCAGCACCCCCATCAAAGACGTTTCCCTTTACAGAAAACCACAACTGGACACAACCCAGAGATCAGCAGATCGTGGGGAGCACAGCCCAATGGGTACATACATCTACATCACAGCTCCTACACCTATGGCTTAGGAGCATCCTAGAAAAATGGCAGAAAGATCCCAAGAGCCAGCACACCAAAAAGTCAAACAGTGTCTCCTAGGAATGGCTGCATGAACAGAACTGGAACAATGGTAACATCAACAGGAATGCTAATATGGAAAGGGGAACATCACATGGGGTCCTACTCCTAGACAATAAAAGACAGGGACTGATGATAGTTTGGAATTAGTCTTTTGACTGGGTAGTGGTGGTGGCACACACCTTTAATCCCAGCACTTCACTTGGGAGGCAGGCAGGCAGATCTCTGTGAGCTTGAGGCTAGTCTGGTCCACAGAGTGAGTTCTAGGATGGTCAAGGCTACACAGAAAATCTCTTGTCTTGGAAAAAAAAATTAGTCCTCCCTAGGGATGGGCCCCATAACTGGTTGTCCAATACAGAGTGGTCAGCCCTGAAACCATATACACACATCAACCAAAATACACTCAGCAGGTTATAGTCATACATTTTTGCACACAAACAAACACACAATAATTGCAATCAAGGAAGAAGAGGCTATCAATTTGAGAGTAAGGGGGAAAACCCAGGAGTTGGGAAGGGGGAACATGGGAGGAGCCAGAGGGAGGAAAGGGAAAAGTAATACAATTATACTTTCTTTTTTTTAAAAAAAAATATTTATTTATTTATTATGTATACAATATTCTTTCTGCGTTATGCCTGCAGGCCAGAAGAGGGCACCAGACCTCATTACAGATGGTTGTGAACCACCATGTGATTGCTGGGAATTGAACTCAGGACCTTTGGAAGAGCAGGCAATGCTCTTAACCTCTGAGCCATCTCTCCAGCCCCCCACAATTATACTTTCATTAGCAATGTATAAAAATTAAAATAGTAATTTCTTAAAGTTTTGTTATTAAATATGTACAGTTATGTTAACTATATAGGACTATTTTTGTTTAATATTTTAATATTATTTTTGTTTAATATTTTATCAGATTTATTCATCTTACACCTTTTGCCTTCATGTCTGTCTGTGCACTCCATGCTTGCTTGGTGCCTGAGGAGCTCAGAAGAGACCATTGGAAGCCCTGGATCTGTAGTTAGGGATAGCTGTGAGCGACCATGTGGGTGGGGCTTAGAGAAGGCACAGGTGTGCTCCTAACTGCTTAGCCAACTCTCCAGTTCCACACCCTAAGTTCTGAGGCCAGCCTGGGCTACACAGTGATACCTTGTGACTTTTCTTTCTTGAGCAGCAGTGCTAGGCGCTAATCTCCAGGCTTACATTTAGCTGGACAGCAGCCTAACTGAGCTCCACCCAGGAAGGAAAGTCACTAAGTTGCTCAGGCTGGCCTAGAACATGTATACTTCCTGCCTAGGACTGCCAAGTAGTTGGTATTGTAGGCATCAGCCATCACTACTGGCTGAGGTTAACATTTTTCTCAAGATCTCTAGGTCTATTTTTTTAAGATTTATCTACTATGTATACAATGTTCTGTTGGCATGTATAGGCCAGAAGATGGTACTAGATCTCACTATAGATGGTTTGTGAGCCCATGTGGGTGCTGGGAATTGAACTCAGGACCTCTGGAAGAGCAGCCAGTGCTCTTAACCTCTGAGCCATCTCTCTAGTTGTTGTTTTGTTTTTTTGTTTGCTTTTTGAGATGTGATTTCTCTGAGTAAAAACTCTGGTTGTTCTGGAACTCAATTTGTAGACCAAGTTGGCCTTGAACTCAGAGATCCACCTGTCTCTGCTTCCTGAGTGCTGGGATTAAAGGTGTGCACCACCACATTGCCTGGTTTAGGTCGGTTTTTAAAATGATTAACATTTTAGGGGCTGGAGAGATGGCTCCTACATAAGAGCACTTGTTCTTCCCACATGAGGGTTCACAACTCTCTGTAACTCCAATCCTAGGGGATCTAATGATCTTTTCAACCTCTGAGGCTACCAGGCAAACACATGGTACATATATACATGCACACATGCAAGCAAAACAGTCATACAAAAAAATAATAAATCTAAATACTTTAAAATAAAAAAAATTGAGCTTATTATGACACCCTCAACCGAACAGGCAAGCACCCAGGACCATCCAAAATCTGGGTGGGAATGTGGTGAGAACAGACAGGCCCAGATTCAGCCCTATCAGCTGTGTGTGGGATTCTGAATGGCCTACCAACCCAGGCCTGCTAGCTAGTTCCTCCTTCTCCCTGGGGGTGAGACATTTACTCCCTGCAGGGTAGCAATGACTTACACTGTGAGACTGAGTCTGAGGAAATGCTGGGCTATGCTAAGGGGCCTTAGAGCCCTTAAGTGGTGCAGCTCCTGTCTGGAGAGGAAGATGGTGGGTAAGCTGTCAGATAAGCAGGAGTTTAGACATTTAAAAAATCATGAAAATTCTAATTTACCTATAATAAAATAAAATACAAAATAATAAAATAAAAAATGTGGGCTGAAAATATACAGTTCAGTGGGCAGAATGTTTAGTATGCATGGACCCTGGGTTTAAACCTTAGTACTGGGGGAACTATAAAAGCAGTCTGTCCAGGCTGCTGCTTTTTTTTTTTTTTTTTTTTGAGACTAGGTTTATGTAGCCCTGGCTGCCTGGAACTTGCTTTGTAGACCATGCTGGTTTTGAATTCACAGAGCTCTTGCTTGCCTCTGCCTCTCAAACGCTGAAACTGAAGAAGACATGTGCCACTATGACTGGCCCAAGTAGCTTGGTTATGATAATGTAAAGTATAATACATGATTTAATCAGTGGTACTATTTAAGTAAAAACAAAACAAAACAAAACCAAGTCAAACAAACAAACAAAACTGGGCATGTGAGGTAGCTTGGTGCAGGTATTTGTTCCCAAGCCTGGTGACCTACCTAGTGACCCTTGGAACACACACTGTGGAAGGAGAGAACCAACTCCCACAAGTTCTGTCCCACTCACACAAATAAGTACAAAGAGGGACTGGAGAGAGCCTCACAGGTTAAGAGCACTGGCTGTTTTTCCAGAGGTCCTGAGTTCAATTCCCAGCAACCACACAGTGGCTCACAACCATCTGTAATGAGATTTGGCGCCCTCCTCTGGTCTGCAATGCAGGCGTACATGCAAGCAGAACACTGTATATATGTAAGGAATTTTTTTTTTTTTACAAAGAATTAAATTTAAAAACTATTTGTTCAGGCTGTAGTGACACAGGCCTGTAATTCTGGCATTCAGGAGTCTAAATCAAGAGACTCTGAGTTTGAAG